AGTTTCAGAAGCCCGGTATGTTCATCTGTATCTAAATTGGCAGAATGATGGTGCACAGTAATTACTGTCACATTTCCTGGGCAAAGGGAGGGAGATCAAAATGCCTAATTAACAGCTTCTTTCCCATGGGAGCCATCAACGACATGGTAAGATGCCTTCTTTCAGCTCTGCAAAATAAATAACAGAAACGGGACAAACCCAGCAGTCACATTCAGCTCTCAGTGTCAATGATTTTGCATCCTTCTGCATCGCTCAAGACATGTGGCTTGCTGAAAATGCACATCCGACAACAAGGGTGGGAATCTCCTTTTGGAAAAAGGCACTCAGGGAGCTTGTTGGGGGGGCTCTGGTAACTCTAGGAGGGCTTGGGCAGCAGCAGGACAGCCAGTGTGAACAGGCAAATGAAGAGGAAATCACTGACAAAGAAGTCCTTTTAGAAAGAAAGACTAAAAAGGTCTCTGTACAATGAAGGCCTGTTTGTATGTTTACTGGCAGTGCCATCAGAATACTATCACTCGTATGGAAAGAGAGAGAAAGGAAAAGGAGATTAAATGAGATGTCACTAGAGGGGGAACAAACAATTAGCACTCCATGGGACCAGGCTGTGAGTCAGTGCATGTCAGCCTGGAGAGGCTGTCCTGTTTGCTGACCCCATCCACGGTGCTGCAATCCTGCTTCACTACAGCTCCAGGCCAAGCCCTGGGGGCTGAGGGTCCTGAGCCGCCACAACTACACACCACAGTGATCTTCTGACAGTGCAGTGGTGTTGAGGGCTGTGAACAGGATCCTCTTCACCTGGAGACTGGCTACTGCAATGCAAGGCTATGGGATACACAGTTTCCTTGACTCACAGCCAGGTGGCTGAAACAAGCACAATCCCTACCTTCAACATGTTTTTTTTGCATAGTCAACCTAAAGGGACTCCCCACCTCTGCTCAAGCATTACTGGCTATGCCAGGGAAGTCCTTCAGGCTGGCATTCCCCACAGCTTATTAAAATATGCTTATTTAAAAAGTAGTTGGTCACAGGTATAAATTTGTTGCAGATGTCCATTTAGTCCATCTAAACAAAGCCTAAACCAAAGAGCTTTATCAGAATAAATTACATCCAAAGCTGAAATGTGATTTGTCCCTTCGCACTTTTCTCTTTGGTTGTTCCCTGCAGACTGTGCCATTCCTGATGTCTGAATCCGCTCCTCTCTGGGGTAATATCTGCCATCATGCAAAAAGCTGTGTTGCCTCTGGATGAACAAATAAAAGTGAACCTCTATTGTCCTTACCTCGTCTTCCAAGTTTTTCCTTTTTTCCCTGCCAGTTCCTGCCCCTGCTTTGCTCCCTCACAGCTTTCACCTCACCAGCTCTCAGCCCTTCACCTCTCTCAGCTCTCCTGATGATGAGTATGTTCCCCCAAATTCCTCAATCCCTTACTCCTCCCTCAGCTCAGTACTGCCACTTCTTCATTCCTTCTCATAGGTCTAGGGCTCCCCCTATTTCTGTTTCACTCACAGTCTAACACACACCAGTCTCTGGGTTCCCCCAGCCACCAAAAATCCAAGCCTCTCCGGTGGATCTGTTACAGGCTCCTTCTCACCCACCTTTCCCATGACTCAAGAGCCAGGAGAGCTCAACCTGCATCTGCTGTGCTGTGTCAGGAAGCCAGCTACAGTTTTCTACAGCCTCTCTGCATCCCACATAGTTTGGGTACCCTGCCAATTAATGAAGGGCTCAGTTTGCCACTCTGGTAGGACATGTTACTGTCCTGAACATTGTCTGACACCAGGACACAGACACTGTCCTGAGGTTCTGGTAATAGGATTTCGGAAACGCTTGCCCTTTATCTGTCAAAAAAATAATTCATCAAATAACTGTGCGGGCAATACAAGCCCCCTCCGATTACAAACCTGAGTTTGCCATATAATGAAGAAAGCACTTAATCAGTTGAGTCACTGTACATAAAGACATATTGTAGAAGAGGGTTCACAATGCATCTAACTACTTTTGTCCCTAATTACATAAATTTGACAGGTTAGTCACTACATTACTGAAAAGAAAAAACAGATGCATTTTAAGTGTAAAACCACAAACCTTTGCAGCTTGACGTTCCCTGCAATTCAAATAAGATGGAGTGTGTTGAATTGCTGGTTCCCAGAGCAGTGCAGATGCACACTGCAATGCATCTATATTGCTTCTCACTGTTTCCTCCCAGTTAGCTGACCACGACTTTACGGTAAGCAAAGAAAAGGCTGCCGCTCTCATGTTTCATTACAAGTCTAGTACATCCTGTGCTCTACCATGGGGTTCAACCCAGAGCTTTCCCTGTCAGCCCACTTCAGAGTAAGTTTCTGAGGATTACACTATCACACCCCCTTTGCAGCACACATCTCGCGTGACATGAAAAGGTTTGGCTTGACAAAACCTACAGATCTCATCCTCTACTCTCAATAAGTCCAGAATCCTCATCAAAGATGCTGTGTGTATGCAAGTGAGAAGGGACATGGACAGGCACGTACCAGGAAGAGCACATTGTAAGCTCGGTGACTCTTGGGCTGTGGGATGCTGCAGAGTGCACCAAAGGCAAGGTGTCTTCAGGAGCATGGCAGGAACAGCAGGGGACTTGTGGCTGGCAGAGGCACAGGGCTGAGTTGGTCTGCCAAGGGCAGCCCAAGTATATACAGAAATGTGTATGCACAAATGCATATAAAAAGGAATAACTGCTTTACTGCCCTTACTTATATCACATCCCTAACAGACTCCTGTGTGCTATGCCAAAAAAACCAGTCTACTCTCTTTGACTTTGCTGGCTGCCGGATCAGGCCCTGAGGCTGCCCTGTCCACAGTGCTGTGCACTCTCCCACGTTCCCATCGGCCCATTTTAAAGGAGGGTATTGATGTGTCTCCATAATGCAGCCATTACCAGCACGATACCGAGACAGATCAATCACAGGCAACACAACAGCCAGATTCAGAGGATTCCAAAAATTGAGGTCAGACTCAGTAACTCTTAGACAGATGCCCGAGAGAGAGACACATACACACAGAGAGGCAAATTTTAACTGTGCAAACCTAAAAATGTCACTTACAGTGACGGATTGGATGTGTTTTGGCAAGAACTGTTACTTCCTCCCCCCTTACCACCCCGTGCCTCTGCATTAGTGTTGGCATAAGGTGCCTTTGTCTCGGTGGCCTGACTCTAACCTTTCCCTTAACACGCAGCCCTCCGATTTCCCTGCAAATGGGTGTCCTGCTGCTTTGCTGTGCCCTGAAGGGACTATTGCAGAATACCTCTCCCTAGGAGAAGCCCATTTTGTGGCTAAATCCCAGCTCCTGGGTCAGTCAGGTGCTGGAGACCTTTCTTAGGTGAAGTGTACCAGGGATGTGGTGATGGATGGCTGCCTGGGAAACACAACCCCTGAAACAGCGCTCTGCTGTGCATGAGCTGGCTGTTGCAGCTGCTGGAGATTTATGGACTCTGACACGAAGGCTGAGAAGCCAAAGATTTTCCTAGGTTACACTGTTGGACTTGCACCAGGGAAAATAAAATCCCTGTAAATCCACTCGAACCCACAGTTTGGCTTAGTTATCTCCATCGACCTTGGCTTCCTGCGCATTTTCTTCTCAGCTGTTTGGAGTCAGTAAGCCACTACAATGATTAAATGATTCACGTTATTGACAATTATGTGTGACAGAGTGGCATTTAAAAACCCTTCCTGATACAACACCCCACTGCAATTAAAATTTGCAAGCAGACTAACACAGCAAAGAAGACTGAATTTGGTGGTGAATGACAATCTTCATTTCATGATCAAATTCTCAATCAAACACCAAAAATCTAAACATCTGGCTTCACAAGGCATTGAGCACATCCAGCTAGTAAATACTACTGTGAAGTGGCAATACATGCTTTGGTCCCTTCTTCACTACTATCACTTCTATCGCTACAGGTTTCTCCTTCGAAAAGAGAAAAATTATTCAAAATATATCTTACGTATCCTAAGATGGTTTACATTGCATTCATTAAATGTGGACTTAGCCAATGTGTGAGTGTGCAATGCACAAGTTTCCAGAGAGCTAGGAATTCATGCATGAAGGCAAGCAGTTCTAGGGACTTTTAAGCTGCTCCAAGAGCCTTAAAATTCTCCAGCTGCTGAGAGATTATGCATAGCATCACCAAATGCTGTCAACAGCTAAAAAACACTGCTAGAAAGATCTCTTTAGCATGCATGAACAGATGCATCAAGGGCAGTTGTGTCTGTACAAGAGAAATTCTTTCACTGTGCATTTGGGATTTAAAGTGGGAACTCTGCATGGAGAGAATTAGTATTTACTTCTAAAACAGGAAACTTGCTTTGCATATTTCATTTTGACACAGTCACACTTGTCTTTTATTTCTGCAAATAACAAGCTGCATCCCAAAAAACTCAAATAGCTTACAAACAGACAAAGTCCCAGTGAGAATCTAGTGAGACATGGTTAGGCAAGGATGAATAAATGCTGACGCTGAATTGTGGTGCTCCTGGTGAGACTGAGCAATGCATTATTCTGCAAATAGTATGTGGTTTCAAGAAGGTGGTGTTACTTGTGAGCAGTACCAGAATCCATCCTTCATGCACTCACAAATACACGACAGCTGGGCAGTCTGCTACTCCCTCCTAGCCCAGAGGAGCTGAGCAGCTGGTCCACACCAGCCTGTTCTCTCATCCCTAGAGAGATGACCCTGTCCCATTGACCAAGATGGACTAAGGCACTGTTATGCCTTTCCTGAAGCCTTCTCAGAGCCCTGCCCAGGATCCAGGGTAAGGATACAAGTTGTGCAAGCCTAGGTGAAGATGCAGCCCTTACTGTGAAGAGCTAGTGCCCTACCAAAGCACATGCTCCCTCATGCCAACTCCCCCAAGCCCCTGCGCACACTTGGCTCCACCTAATGTTTCCCTCTGGAGAAATATCCCGTGGTGTGCAGAGCCCCGTGTTCTGCAGCAGCAGGGCATCATCAAGGTGCATTACCTGCGGTATCCCTGTCCCCTGTCGACAGCTCCCCATTGATCCCGTTCTCTTTGGTCTGAGCATACGTCCCCAGCTGCTCGTGGCCGCCCAGTCTCGGCTCCTCATCCTCTCGGTAGGGAAATCCATTGGCACTTCTGACCAGTCCAGCACCTGAACCACCCTGATCCTTAATTTCAGGTGAATGTGGGTGTGAAGAAGCCTCTGTTAGCTGACCTGAAGTCCAGTGTGGTGCCTTGGCTTCGTCCTTCCTATCCTCCGCCATGGTTCCTTGCCTTCACCGCTTGGCCTGTAATGACATGAGCAGGAGAGATCAGCTCCAAGGGGGTGACCAGCAGGCAGGGACCAGGTGCAACACAGTCATGTTACTAGCAGTGCTCCTGGTAAATTCGTGTCCTGCAGACAAAGGAGAGTTTAAATGCAGAAGTGACTCTGTGTGTTTGTCCAAGTCAATAGTGAACTAATTTAAGCCCAAAAGAAACCACCAGCAGTAAAAATTATGGATCAAGTCCACCCTGACTCTCGTATGCCTTGCAATTATTAGCCCCAGTTTCTCAAGGGCTGTCGTTAATCTGATCTGAACTCATTAATTACAGTCAAATGTCGACCCACTTAACAAGAAGTGAATCTGTCATCACAGTGCAACGACACCTTCCTGGGGCAACGAAGGGAAGAACACTGCAACTGCTAAAAGAAGTGAAGCTGGTGTTGCAGTTGCAGAGGGCGGGTGCTCGTCAAGCACAGAAGGACAAGGCAACGTGTCCTCTGCAGCACGAGCAATCTGCCACTTCCCAGGACAGAAGCCACGCTGAGAACATGCACTGGGTTCTTGAACATATGTGCTGATTGACCCTCTTTACATCCCCTCTTACTTGCTGTTTTGTGAACATTCACACTCACTCCCTTTTGTGGGGAACGGTTGTTTCTCACACAAGCATTTGCATTCTCTTATGACTATCAGTATTTATACACAAACAAAACTAATCATTATTTGCTGCTTCACATATATTTCATTCCTGTTCATTAGCTCTCATTTATCCAAGCCAGGAAAAGAAGTCACTGCACAAGCCACAGGCTTTGGATACTCCTCGCAGATAAATGTAGCAATAGCTCCTCAATATGCAAACCTAGTAAGGCAATAAATCATAATTTGTGTTTTGATGATAAGATAACCTCTGCGGAGGAGAGGAAGGCTTGCCCTGAGCTAGCTACTTCAAAGTGAAAACCAGCATGCCTTTTCCAAAAGCACTTGCTACCTCTCTTTTTCCTGGGAGAAAAAAAAAAAAGATAAAAGAAATCAGCTGAACGCAGTCAACCAGCCACGTTATCGCAGAGGCTGAGCAGTCTAGAAAAGAAGGCACAAACTGGATACTGCACATATTCTGCAGACATTTATCCACAAAGTCGGGTCAGTTTGCAGAAAACCTCTGAACATAAGAAAAAGCTATTGTTATTTGCCAGAGAATCATTCACAAGTGATAACTCAAACCTTTCTGATTAGGTATTGTTATTTAATAATAATGGCTTCCAAAGCTACTTCAACTTTAAAAAAAACCCAAAACAAAACACGGTGAATCACAAAAATTAGATGTCATTCACAGTATGTGACTCAAACTGTAGTTCCATACCAAAAAGGACTAATAACTCTTTTGCCTCCTGGTGAGATCATATTATTTTGGGAAGCATAGCTTTGCCTGCTCTCACCCTGGCCCAGCCCCATTCCCTGGGAATAACTACATGCATTAGGACTGCAGAAGCAGGTGAAACTTGCTCTGAGCTGTAATGAAAACAGTGGGCCGAGCAGTATCACAAAGCAAGGAGACATGGCTCAATCAACCACAGAAAGAGTAAACATGCTCCACACCCCTTTGCCTTCCCCACCTCCTTTATCCCGACAGGACATTCATCAGTGAGATATTCGGCATGTACAGCCCAGAGCCTTAAAGCAGCCATCTCACATCATACCAGGAAAGCTGATGGTGTTATTATGAAGGACAGAGTCTGAGCTGAGCAAATACCCTCTCCTACAGACCCTCTGCATCTAGGTCTGTTTACTACATGACACTAGAGAATATTTGCTGATCAGAGCCTTCCCAAAACATGAGGCCATGGGACAAATGTCTCCCTTTGACTAGGAATGAGTAGCACACATCCAAAGCCACCAACATCTGGGATCTGAGGACAGAACAGAGCCTGTTCTGGGAAAAAAATGAGACATTCTCATTTATGTCCCTTGAGGAAGCTCAGGAAAAAAAAAAAACACACACAAAAAACCCCAAAACCCAAACAAACAAAAAATCCAAGCCCTAACTCAAAGCTTCCCTCACCAACCCAAGTGTGATTGACAGCAAGCCCCAGGAGCAGGATGAACCTGCCCATCAGCTTCAGCAGTTCTGTCCCTGGGTCACCCATGAGAGGAGCCCAGAACTGCAGCAGGGACAGGGAGCATTATGCAAGAGCCAAGTGTGGGGAATGTTGTTCTGAAAATCACTGGGGCAAATGTAATGGTTATATTCCACCACCACAGTTTGGAGGCTATTATCCCTGAAGTACCCTTTCTGGTTCCAGGCAGACACTCCCTGATTGACTTGAAGCTCTTGAGGAAGGATATTCACATCCTCACAATGGACTGTGCCACAGAAGTCCCCTGTGAAAGTAACAGAAGTGCTTTTATCTTTAAAAATAAATACAGTGGGCAGACTTCAATGGGAACTGTGTGTATCTGGAGGCAGAATTTGGCTCAGTATTTATAATAGATGGTTACAGAGTGAAACATGGATGAATTCATTCTTGAGTCCCTGTTATTCATCAAGTGCTCTCAGAGTTTATAATGGTAGTAGAGACACAGCGAGTGAGTCACACACTGCATCTTTGTACTCAACAACTTAGCAGTGACTATCTGCTGTATGGCCTGATTCATCCACAGCTCGTGTCCAAATCCAGAATACATGGGTGTGCTTTGCACCATTCAGGTGAGGGTTTTTTCTGTCATTTCATTAGCTTACTATGGAATGAAATTAATTCGGTAATTTAAATATTGATACAGAAACACCAAGAGTGGACAGACAATATAGCAGAATTTAAATAGTGAGAGGTATGCAATAAGTAGTAACCTGGAATAGTTTGGACAATCTACAGAAACACTGTACTTCATGGAAGCTAAAAGTTCCTCTTTCTACTATGATTTTCTTACTCTTTGCATAAACTGCAATGAAGGCTTTCAAAAAAAATCAGAAAAGAAGGGACACAGTCAGTCCTCTAAAATGTCATGTTGCTTAGTTAAAATGAAATTGTACCTTTATGAGCATTTCTTCCCTACCCTTTATAGCAGATCCTCATTATCAGGGAATACAGAGCAGCAGTCTCACCAGTATGTTTGCCTGTCACCTCAGCTGGCTGAGGCAGGTGCTGGATCACAGCAGGAAGGGCAGCAGAGCTCACAGGCAGCACCAGCCTTGGCTGCACCCACACCCCAGCACAGTCCCTTACTCCAAAGCCATCCCGGCCACACCGTGCCAGCATGTCCCAGGGCAGGATGTGTGGGGCACATGGCACGGGACTGTGGTAACCACTCCCCCCTCAGGACGCTCCTCACCTTGAAGCCTGATCAAAGCCAGCTGTGCAAATCAGTAGGAGTGGGGGGGGAAATGCCCCCTCCTTCCAGAGGGATCGAGCAGGTTCTGCTGAGCACCACAAACCACACAGTGACACCGACCCACATCTGTGGGCCATGAACAGCCCTCCCCAAAAGGCTTTCCTTGTCCAGATTGACATGGAGGAGGTACCCTGGCCATTCCCTGTCCAGACAGGTCATGCTTCACTGGCATCAGCAGCGATGAGGTACTTCACTGTTAAGTTCATGTACTTGTAATTCAGGCAGTGCATTGAGGGGACAGCACTTTGGATCTGAAACTGGACATCTTGGCTTCTGAACTAATAACCTGGAGCAGAAATAATGGTAAAAATTAATCCCCTCAGCTTTTTCAGCCATTTGGGAACTGTACAGAGACAGAAATTACTTAACTTCGAATTAACACAGAGGGACAAACCTCGGGAGGGATATGTGATCCAACTTTTTCAGACACCCTCCACATATTTATTAATCCATAAGCTCTTTAATGTGACACCAGCTCCCGCTGCTGTGGCTGGGTTGAACCAAGCCTGAATGCTTTGAACTCCATGCACAGCAAATCACCCACAGTAATACAGCATGAGGCCATATATGCAAAACCCAAGATAATGCTGATTTATACTTCCTGTCATGCTAGCTGTCCTCCTGTGTATTTCAGAGGTACATCTTGCAGAATAATCTTAACATTATATTAACATTGCCTTTGCATATAACGGATTAATTTTCTACAAATTTCACTTTTTAAGACAACGGAATTAGGTCAATACTGAGGGATTTTGCAAATAGTCTGCCCTCCTGCTTCAGGCCATGTTTTTTACCTGCTCTTGTATCTGTGAGCCCATTTCCAGGGAAACGAGGCTATTTGATTTCAGGGATGCTAATTCATGAACTAAGAGAAACAGCTACCTGGACACACAGAGGAAGAGCTACAATTCCAGTTCAGGGGAAAGATGAACACTGGAGGTTCCTGAAGGGAGGGACAACATAATATACTCCTCAAAAAAGAAAAACAAACCCTGGTAGGGGGCATGGCCAGATCCTGAGCTCAGTGGGGAGGGGAGGAGAGCGGATGCGGCCCCTGTTTGGCTTCAGGACCAAATCTTGCTTCCCCAGAGGACTATTGAGCTCAGATGCCCCATAGCACTGACACAGTTTCCCAGCTCCCAAGTCCAGAGCCAGGAGAGGGAGGGGATTGCTCCATGAATGCAGGCTGGGGTGCAGATGCATCACTAGCAAGACCTCAATTACCCAGGGCTTCCAAAACTCCTCAGTGAGACAGCTGAAAAGAGATTTTAAAAAAAAAATAAATTTAAGAAATTCAGAGAGTTTCTTTCAGAGAAAAGAAAATCAGGAGGTGAAGTGTTCATAAATTTTTGAAAAGAGAACTAAGAATTAAAGAAGAAATTAAGATGTCTTCAAAATGAGTTACACTATACACAAATAGGGTGCAATCTAACTTATACTGCTAAATAACACAACCAAGAAAACTTGATGTCCACCAACTAGCCAAATGGGACAATGGATCTGAATATTAAATATCATGCACTATGGATTAAAAGGTCCTAAGGGAATCTGCCAGTAAATTTAACTTACTGACAACTTTTAGAAGAGCCCAGGAAAGCAGGTAGGCATGGAGGCTGGAATAGAAACAAGAAGAG